TTTAACATCGTTTCAGAATTAAATGGTTGGTCTTATACCAGTAAATCGCTTTTCTTAGCTAGTAGTATGGTTGGTCCGGCACGGGCAATCTTATGTGAACTTGATAGTGGTAAACGGCGTGATTTTAATACAATAGTTAGTGCATTACAAAATAGATTTGGTTCAGTGCATCGGGCTGAAGTTTTCCGTTCACAATTACAGGTTAGACAATTAGAACGTAATGAATCAATTCCGCAGTTAGCTCAGTCTATCCGAAAATTAACCCGAAAAGCATACCCTAGTGCTACGTCTGAAGTGGTGGAGTTACTTGCTCTTGATTACTTTATAGATGCTTTACCTGACACTGAAATCAGATTAAGATTAAGGGAAGTGGGTCCTAAGACTATTGGGGAAGCAGAGCGTATTGCTGTTCGGTTAGATGCCCATAAAGTAGCTGACAGAAGTAGGGGTCGTCACTCTGTAAGAAATGTTACAAATGAGACTGACAGAACTGAAAAGCGATTTAATGAGTTGTCCATGCAGATGAGAAATTTAATGGATCAAATGAAAAACTATGAGTATCGTTCTCAAGTCCCGAATTACAAAAATAACGCGGGTAGTAATCCGAAACATTTCCATAATGCACAAAGTTTCGGAAGACAAAATCGACCAAATAGAAACAATCAATCTTATAGGAACTCAAATCAATTTCAAAGAAAATCAGATGTCCAGGGAAACGAAAGAATGTCGAGCTTAGGGGCCGCAGCCCGGCAATAAATATAAGGTCCCCGAATGTGACAAATAATGATTTATGTTCTAGTGATAATGCTTGTTTTGTGAACATTGAAATATTAGACACTAACGTAGTGATGCTTGTAGATACAGGTTCAAGTGTAACAATTTTAAAGAAAGATTTATATGAAAAGTTGCCATTAAATAACAGACCTGAACTGAGACCTGTGAATATATCTTTGACTACGGCTACTGGGGACACTTTTCCTTTTCACGGTAAAGCTACTGTAACTTTTAAACTTGGTAAACAATCGTTTCAACATGATGTTCTTATAGCAGATATAAAGAATGAGGGGATTATTGGAATGGATTTCTTTAAATCTCACAATTGTCAAATAAACCTTAAAAGTCATTGTTTAGAAATTAACGGGGAATCAGTGAAATGTTTCAATAATATTGACTCATTTTCAAACCGCTGTTATACCTCCAGAAACAGAGGTTATAATAACTGGTAAAGCAGTTGGTACTGTCACAGAAACTATAGGTAAAATAGAACCAAATCTTAAAAATTTGCAGAGAAAAGTGGTGTACTCGTTGCAAAGGCATTGGTAGACTTAAAGAAAGGTGAGATACCAATAAGACTAGCAAATTTTAGCAATGAGCCGTGTACTATCTATAAAGAAACAGTAGCCGCTTTTTATGAACCTGTTAGTGTTCCTGAAGAGTTTAAAATGGTTGAATCAGTTGCGGTATCGTCTAATAAAGGTTGTAAAGAAGTGCCAAACCATCTAAAAGAGATGTTTAACAAGGCAAAATGTAATTTAACAGACTCAGAACAAGAGAGTGTTCAGAAGTTGCTTATTAAGTATCAAAACGTATTTTCAAAGTCGGACGATGATTTAGGTAGAACACATATTGTGGAGCACTCTATTGATACGTCTAATGCTAAACCAATTAAGCAAGCACCATACAGAGTACCACTAGCAAAACGGTTAGTTGCTGAAAAAGAGATTAGGGACATGGCTGAAAAGCAAATCATCGAACCTTCCATAAGTCCATGGTGTAGTCCTGTTGTCATGGTAACCAAGTCTAATGGCTCTATTCGTTTTTGTTGTGATTTCAGAAAGCTTAATGAATGTACTGTTAAGGATAGTCAGCCTTTACCACGTATAGATGATACTTTAGATACTTTATCAGGTTCGGCTTGGTTTAGTACACTTAACTGCAAATCAAGCTTTCGGCAAAGTGGTTTATCTGAGACAGATCGTCCTAAAACAGCATTTTCTGTACAAGGTAGTGGGATCTGGCAGTTCAAAGTTATGCCATTTGGACTGTGTAATTTGCCTTCGACCTTTGAAAGATTAATGGAACGGGTACTTGCTGGACTCACATGGAAATATTGTCTTGTATATTTAGATGATATTATTTCATATTCTAAAACCTTTGATAATCATTTAGATACTCTTGAAGAAATATTATGTATAATGAGTGAAGCTAACCTGAAAATGCGTGCTCTTTCAACGTCAAGTAAGTTTTCTTGGGCATTTAATAAGTAAGGATGGTATCGCAACTGATTCAAAGAAAATTGAAGATGTAATAGATTGGAAAACCCCAAGAAATGTTAAAGAAGTTAGAAGCTTCTTGGGACTCTGTTCTTACTACAGAAAATTTGTTAGAAATTTTTCTACCATAGCTAAACCGCTACATAAATTGACAGAAAAGGGAATAAACTTTAATTGGTCAAATGATTGTGAAAGTGCTTTTCAAGCCCTGAAGATTGCTTTGACCAACGCACCTGTACTTGCGTACCCCTTAACAACTGGTGAATATATCCTTGATGCGGATGCCAGTGGGGTGGGTATAGGCGCAGTACTCTCACAAATACAAGATGGAGACGAAAAAGTGATATCGTATTACAGCAAATGTTTATCAAAACCTGAACGACAGTACTGTGTCACAAGAAGAGAGTTATTGGCTGTAATCAGTGCTGTGAAACACTACCACCATTATTTATATGGGCGACACTTCAAAGTTAGAAGTGATCACGGGGCCCTTAGGTGGTTAGCGAACTTTAAGAGTCCCGAGGGACAAATTGCAAGATGGTTGGAAATATTATCAACTTATGATTTTGAAATAAAGCACAGAGCAGGCCGTGTGCACTCTAATGCTGATGCTTTATCTAGAAGACCATGTAGTGATTACAAATGTTCTTACTGCAATCGTGCAGAAGACAAGTATTCTTTTTGTCTTAAAAATGACAGAGAATTTAGAGATGAGATGAGGGATTTTAGCATGAAAGATAATGATTTCATTGAGATGTCTGTGGGTAGGGACAATTCGAAAGATAGTTCCCTAAATGAAAGCGCAAATGGACATATTCATACTCAAAGCGTCCAGAAGCTAGCAAAACACGCTTGTGTGAAAACCATCTGCGAGTCTGTAGATGTTGGTGATCTTTATGTCAACAATAAGAGTGATGCAACGTTGATCGATTGCAACTCTATTGTTAAAGGTTGCTCAACGATGGAAGGTAGATTAGAACTTGTGAAAGATACTGATCCTTTATCTAAATCAGTTCAAACGTCGTCATATGAAAATGCTTTAGCACTCATATGCTTGAACAAAGATCTAGAATATGTAAGAGAAGTCAGGGAGATAGATAATGGTCTTACTAAAAGAAATATTATTGAGAATCAAGACAAAGATGTAGAATTAAGAATCTTAAAAGAATGGAAGACAAACCAATTGAAACCTGAATGGTCAGAAGTAGCTTCTCGCTCTATTGCACTCAAATATTATTGGAATAGATTTGAGTCGTTAGAGATAAAAGATGATGTCTTATATTATATTTGGGAAGGTACTGTTGGAGACGATTTAGAATATCGCATAGTATTGCCCAAGGCCTTAGTGCCTGAGGCATTGAAAGAGTTACATGATGGTCCTACTGGAGGCCATCTTGGTATAAGAAAAACTTTATATAAAGTACGAAATAGGTTCTTTTGGTATGGTTTAAAACGAGATGTGACAGAATGGTGCAAAAGATGTGATATTTGTACATCCCGGAAAGGGCCATCTCGAAAAGCAAAGGCTGCTATGAAACAGCATGGTGTTGGCGCACCTTTGGAAAGAATTGCAATGGATGTCATGGGGCCTTTACCTAGGACAGGTTTAGGACATAAATATATACTTACTATAGTAGACTACTTTACCAAGTGGATAATGGCCATTCCAATTGAAAATCAAGAAGCTGTTACTATAGCTTCAAAATTTGTTGAAAAGTTTGTTTCAGTGTTCGGGGTGCCTAGACAGATTCATTCAGACCAAGGGTCGAATTTCGAATCTCAGGTTTTCAAAGAAATGTGCCAAATACTTGGAATAGACAAAACAAGAACGACACCATATCGGCCGCAATCGGACGGCTTAGCAGAAAGAAGTCTACGTACAATTCAAGCAATGTTGTCAAAATTTGTAGCATCTTCTCAAAGGGATTGGGATAAATACCTACCTATAATGACATTGGCATATAATGCTTCAGTGCAAGAAAGCACTGGTTTTTCTCCGAGTATGATGATGTTTGGGAGGGATATGACTTTACCAGTTGATTTAGCTATTGGGAAACCTGAACAAAATGTTCAAGGGTCAAAGACCTCATTTGCGGTAGATTTAGAAAACAAACTCGAAAAAGTTCATGAACTGGCCCGAAATAATATGACAATTGCAAGTAACTCCCAGAAACGACTTTATGATCATAGGTTAAATCAAAATAAATATAACGCGGGAGATATGGTTTGGTTATATACACCGCAGATTAAACCGGGGTTGTGTTCGAAACTGTCACGGAAGTGGACAGGGCCTTACGTAGTTGTTAAAAAGATAAACGATGTTGTCTATCGAATTCAGTTGAATACACGGTCGAAGCCAAAAGTCGTGCACCATGATCGTTTATCGTTATATAAGGGTAGAAAAGTATCATGGTATCAGGACGTGTCTAACTAGCTTTGTGAGCTCACCTCAAATAATTAACTATCCAATACTGATGTGCATAAATGTTAAAGGATAATAACAATAATGTTCATGCATTGTTTACGATGTTTTTATTTTTTTTATTTGTCTTTCACTTCAGTTCTTGTGCGTCATCTGTCAAAATGTGACCTTTCAAAAATATCATCAGGCTGCCCGACATGTTCAGGAACAACACAGCCATTATACCTATCAGTGTCTCAAATGCAGGAAACTCTTCATAAGGCGGTCGTATAGACATCAACCCTGTGAAAACTTAAAAATCAGTGACTTTGATTTGATGGACCCAAATGGAGTTAGAGAAAAAGCATTAGACCGTTTCATAAGATGGAAAAAAGAAACAATGCCTGGTTTGATTAAAGAAGTGGAGTCAGGATATCTAAGACAAATCCGCCTTTTAAGACATAGTTATGACCCCACTCAGTTGGAAAATGATCGATTTTCTGGTGAAGAACTTGACAACATGCTGAAACAACCTGTGTCTCCTCTGAGGTCTTCTCCTACAAGGTCTCCAAAGAGGATTATTAAACTGAAGGACCTCGAGGACGTAAGCTCAGATGAGCTTGACTACGAAGACCACACCGATAGTTCTTCCTCATCTTCTTCTTCGTCTAGCTCCTCATCTTCAAGTACATCTTCTAGTGACTCTAGTGTTGAACCTAGAAAAAATCTATCCACTGGAACTCGGAAACGTAAACGTGCCTGGAAGGTTTCACATTTGTCGTCTTCCAGTGATAGTGAATCTGAGGGCGAATCAGCTGTACCTGAAAAGAAGAACAAATTAGTGGTGAATGATGATGAAAATAACAAATCTAAAATTACAAAGAAAGAGGGCAGAGTAAATGTGGTACGGGAAAAAGAATATGGAGATAAGAAAAATGCAAAACAAAATTCAGATGTAGGTAAGAGTGTTAAGCCTGATAAAAACATAAACAGAAATAAGGAAATAACGAACGAAAAGAAAGGAGAAAGCAAGGAGAAAGAAAAAAAGACAAATGAAAGTAAAATAGAAAGTGATAAAATGTGTACTAACCCAGAGAAAGGAGATAAGTTACGAAAAGTGAAAGAGAAGGAGAAAACAAGTGAATCAGATATTGTTAAGAGAAAGACAGTGACTTTAACTGAAAATACAAAGCAAAATGAAGGAGAAATAGCAAGTGATAAAGGATGTACTAAACAAGAGAAGAGAGATAAGTTAAGAAAAGTGAAAGAGAAGGAGAAAACAAGTGAATCAGATATTGTTAAGAGTAAGACAGTGACTTTAACTGAAAATACAAAGCTAAATGATATGCAAAATGAAAGTGAAATAGAAAGTGATAAAATGTGTACCAACCAAGAGAAGGAGAAAATAGGTAAATTAAATATGAGTCAAGGCCAGACAGTGACTGAAATTATAAATAAAACTGAAAATAATTGTGATGAAAACACGGGCGAAATTGAAAGTAATACAGATGGTAGCACAGGAAATAATAATGTGGAAGGTACACTTACCTCAGGACAGCAGACCTTAGAGTCAGTTATACCCTTATTACAACGGGCCCAAAATGAAAGGATAATTTTAAATATTGGGGGTCAAAGGTTTGAGACATCTCGGGTAACCCTACAAAGAGAGCCTTGCTCAATTCTATCAGAAGTGGTGTCTGAGGGAGGAATGGTCCCGAAAAATGGAAATATATATTTTATTGACCGTGACCCAGCCCATTTTCGGTTTGTGCTAAACTACCTAAGGAATGGGGCGTGTGACTTAAGAACCTTACCCCATGATTTAAGGTATCTATATGAGTTGTATTACGAGGCTAGGTACTATCGTTTGCCAAGTTTAGTGCATGCTATTATAAGTAAAATTGAGCAAGTAAGTGTGGTTGGCGCAAATTTGGAACCATTGCCTATGACGGCACATAAACTAGGACTATAATGGGTTAGCAGACATAATCAAATTCATGTGTTGTAGGGTAATAATTATGTTGTTTTATTGTACTTTGTAAAATAAATGTAAGAGTTTTGGGGACCAAAAGTTTTGTGGACGGGGGCAATGTAACGACCCAATGTTATTAAAAATAATATTGTATTATTATGGTGTATGTAAATATTATGTATGTACTATTGATTATGTTTAAAGATGTATTTTGATGGAATTAGTTTAAGTGCATTTAATTTTACCACTCCCCACCCACTTTTATATAAATAAATGCACCCCGTATATTTTGTGTACATGCATATTTTTATCAATATGATACTGAATATGATTCTTTTGTTACTGTTGAAATGTTTTCTATGTCATTGTTTTTACATTATATAACTTTAATAACTCCTGGGCATTGTATTCACATTCATATTTGTGTAAATATATTTTTCTTGTCAGTGAATTTATTATTTCAGGGACACATATTTCACTTATTATATGCTTTCTTGTTTAAAATGTCATATATATCAATAGACTTACCTTGGATGCTTGAATTTCCATCACTGTAATTCTTCTAGATGTTTTTCAGATGATGTTATTGATGAAATAATAATAATTTTTCACTTACTTCCGTGTTTTGGCAGCCATTTTGGCGCATCATCTACTTAGAATTGTGACGTCATCGGTAACGTAATCTTTTCGCGAGATATTGTTTTTATCTGCGCTGTATTCATTGGGTGAAGGGCTAGCACCCAGTACAGTTCTTTAAAATGATTTAAAGTCAATCTTACCTAATATTTGTCAAGATGTCCCAACCTGAGGTAATAAAAAAGTCCAAGTACCTAAATTTTGTGTTTTAGATATTAAGATTAGCCCATCTCCAGTGTTACGAAATGTGTACCTAAAGTTTAAGTTTAACTCGGTAGTGTTAACGTGTGAAATGTTCCAAGTACCTAAACTTTAGGTAGTTTAACCGTGAAAACTTTCTAAGTTCCTAAACTTTAAGATTTCTGATGTGGGTGAAAAAGATGTTTATCGTGCGGAAGTGTCCAAGTTTACCAATGTTATTATTCATGTTTTAATTTAAGTAAATACCTAGACCCGATTAAATTATGTAAATGTATGCAAGTGTTAAAGTTGCTAAATCTCTAGGTTAAACGCGTATACTGTACATATGTTTAAATACCGTGCCTTCCCGGAACTATACTGTATTTACTATATTACGCTTTTAAGTGTTGTTAAATTATCGTAAGTTATGTAAATAAATTAATGAGTGCCTTGGAGTGTGACTGTATTATTGTTTAATGTAGCTTGTGTTTCTAAGTGCCGTAATTTTCTTGTGATGTGTTTAAACGTGTGATTTGTAAATACGTATATCTGATGAAACAGTGCGTGTGAGATGAACAATTAAATTGGTTAAATATTACGTTGATTAATAAACTCAGTAAAGTAAGAGGAACATCTCTGTGAATCTAAGTGTTTGAAGAACGCAAATTATTATACTTAAGTTTACAGTGAGATTTACTGACAATTTATATTAGATCTACGTAATACATGTAATGATATATTTTGCTAAATGTTAGTTACTTGAATCTTCTTGTCTTGTATATATTACTCTATGTGGTTAAACAGTTATAAAGTTAATAAAAGTTGTTTAAGTGTTTATACGCCTCAATTGTAATTTAACCCTACCAAAAGCCGGGCCCAGACGAACTCGTGTGGCACTTCTTGTGTAGCAAACAGGCCAACGTTACACAAGAGGGACGTCACACCAGTATACCCGAAACCCTTACTTAGACAAGGCAGGTTTAAAGCAGTAACTGGTGCAAAATCAAATTTGAAGTAGGTTTAAACGGACGTTTTAGAAACGAAACAATTCATGTGAAATAAATTCATATGCGTTAAAAGATAAATATCATCGTTGACAAGATTGCAAATTTAAATTGGTTTTGAGATCTGCTTTTCTTTCAAAAGATGAAAACATGTCTGTGTCCAACATTAAATTTTGTTTTATATTTAAAACATTACTTTAACAATATGTATAGTATTACATTGCATGTTTACACGAATTTTGTGTTTTGATTTATGTTAAAAATTCAGTCATTATGCGAGATCAATTTTAATGTGAGCATATTTGCACAAATGCAATAATATTGTTGTTCGTGTCTCCACAATTCCATACGTTTCCATAGAATTTTATATTAAATATATAAGACCTAGACTACTTATTGCATTGCAAAAAGTTTCGTTTATGTACATGAAAATTTTATTTTGATCTAATGTATTTCAAAAAAGCATGACAGAATTGTATTAAAATGGTACTAGCTGACACAAAAATAGCTACAAACACAGGAATTTGGAGTTATAATATTATTAGATTGTATATAGCTGTCAAACGTTACTTTACAAGGCATCACATTCATTTAAAATATTTATTCAAAAGAATAATAAAAATCTATATACTTTTTCTTATTCCATTTTACGAAAACAATATCATTCCTATTTTCTTTCAAATCATTCGCCTTTAAAAAGCCTAAAGTTTCCATCATATAGTAGTAATAGTAACGTTTTATTCTTTAATCGACAACTTCGACGAATCATTACATGAATTTATATAATCTCTCTAAAAGAAATATTTCTAATTCAACGATTGTACACAAATTCATGGATAACGGATTTTAATATGCATGCTTGCGAACCGTCATGTTAGTATATTGTTGACTTCACAATGGAAAGCAATCTCTCATATTTCAAAAGATATAAGAACAGGCGAGAGTGGCCTCGCCTTCATTGACTTCTTAATTTTACAATTGCCATTATGCTGTGTGACAAGGAACACACTGCTTTTTATAGTACAGTTTTTTTCATAGTTCTATTTCTTTTTGTCCAGGTATTAGCGATAAATAATCTAAAGTACACCTGTCTAAAGAACTGTTACGTGTTGAGTATGAATATACGTTATTATGATAGATCTTTCAGCACTTTCATAAACCTTTATTTACGTGCTGAAAGGTTTTGTGTCATTGCAAAGAATCAGACGTTCATCTCCGTATATAGTAGTATGTTTAGCTGCCAAAATTTGGAATGAAATTGATCTGAAAAAAAATGAATACATGTAGTTTGTCGGAGAGGTATTTGCATCAACATCTTTCTTTAAATCTTTAGATAACGCAATCGTTTTGTTCTAATGAAAACATAGATGTTGTTAACTCTTAAGTAGCATTCGTTATACTACAATGTAATGTACTATATAGTATAATAACAAGGCATCAGATGACAAATGATGTTCAAAACATGTTAGGTAAAAAAACATAATTTACTTTTAAGCATACAAAACAATTTAAAACTTTGGTTTTTGATAGGATGTGCTGCAGGTTACATGTCGAAAGTAAGCTTGGTTGTTGCTAACGTAAAACAATCTTGGCATCAGACATCCGTCGAAAATGAAAAATTTTCCATGTGTCTGTTTTATGTTATATTTGTAATTTCATACTAAAATATATTTTGAAGTGCTATAAACTAAAGGCTCTAGATTTGTATCCAGGTGTTGTTACAATTTGTTTCGGCTACATATATTCACATAATTTGCAAAACATCTGTTAAATCAATAATTTTGCATGGGATAATATGTTAATTAACGCAGTCTTACATACCAACATTGCAATTTACGAGATAGCTTCAATGTTTGTGACGTTCCAAATAACGTACATACCAAATTTAACAGTCTGTAATTCTAGACTTGACAATCGCGTAAAGTGATACAATTTCAGCAATCTTCTTTAAGAAAAACGTAAATAAATTGCATAAAATAATGATATGAAATTTGTTGTCCATCTGCAAATATTTGGTCTCTGTTGTGTCATATTTCATATTGCCCTTATATGTCTGGTTTATTGTCTTAAACAACTTCTTAAAATACTTCCGTATCATCTCGACATTTCATTCTCGCATTTAAATGATTTATAGATATCATGTGAAAGTGTGTTATGGGCCAGCTATTTTGCGAAACGATTTTTCTTTATTGATTTAGCACAATCATACCAACAGAGGGAAGGTAATCAACAACAGAACTGTTTAATGTCTTGTTTTTGTGGGAAATTAATAAGCAGACGAAAGGTTGTTAGCATTAACCTGTCTGAAAAACTGTTGGAGTATTTTTATAGGTTGTAACACAGCATTAAGTACCAAACAGTTTAAAGTTTTTGAGAAAAATATGTAATCAAAAATGAATATGTTGCCATGAAGGAAGAATGTGCAATGAAATACATCTTAAGAATGTCGCGTAATGTTTCGGTATACTTTGTTCAATGTCAAATATATTCAAATATTGGTAATAATCTTGAAATTGTTATTTGGGTAGATTTGAAATTGTTATTAGGGTAGATATTATTGTTATATAACAAAAGGAGATACATCTCACACTGTTAAATAAACGAAAAGAAAGCCAACCTCTTCCTAGAGCCGCTCTAGAGTCCTACATTTTTGTTTGCTAATAACGCAATGTAAACCGTATCACAATATAGATCTTCGCACACTTAGTTTAAACTCACTTTTGTAATTGTTGATTATTTAAAAAATGACAAACATGTCCTTTATGCACCAGATTTCCACTTCATTAGTAAAAACTCTTTTATCTATTTAAAGATTCGCCATTATCACAATGTTGATGTATTACCAGTACAAAATGTACGCATTTTGTGTAAGAAAGGCGTTAAATTCGTCACGTTGAGACCATATGTTTTACACAATATAAATATGGAATAAACTTATAAACAACACGTCCTTTATACACTATATGTTCACTTCATTAGAATAATCTTGTGACTGATAAAAGATTCACCATAGTCATATAATTGAGGTATTGACAGTACTAAATGTAATTATCATAATTTCAGAAATGCGTTAAATTCGAGTTGAGATCATGTTTTGAACAACAAATAAAATTGTTACAAACAATGGCAAACTGATTCATATTGAGTTCAGACAAAACATATGATTTACCTCTTCAGTTTTATCACACTTGATATTGGTTTTTATGTTTGGCTATGAAGTTGGTGTTAAAATATTTATTTGCTACAATCCTAGTTGCAACATATATTTGCAATTTTTAGATCATCAATACATTAATGAGAAGAACTACACTCTGATACCAATTTTATTTCAAGGTGCATTATTTTAGTATACGAATATAAGTAAAAGTTCCTAAATTAAAAGTTTATTCAATATTAAGTATCGCCCAAATAGAAAGGATGATAACAATACATATTTAAGTAGAAGAAAATATACTTGACCCTCAATATATACCCTCGATTGAAGCTTTTAAGTTTTTGGAAGAATGCATCAAATATGGGTGGTTTTTAGTTTTATATAAACCTATTTCAGAAGAATGTTATTGTACTATTCGTTATTTTGTAACGTGTATTTTATCATTGTTGTGTATTATCAGTTAAAAGCAATAAATAGTGTCACTGATAAAGTATTGTGAAATGCCCATTTAGCTGCAGAAATTATTTTAAAGCGGTGTGTAAAACATATTTTATGCGCAAATTTATTACGGCATTGCGTGATCATGGACTCTAAATTATAGTTTCTTTTTTCTTATCACGCATGCCCTGGAATGAAAAAGAAAAAACACTTGTTCGGCATGTTATAACATTCATTTAAACTTCACTTAGTATATATTTTAAAAACATGCGAAATTGTTATAAAAATCTTATAGAAACGGAATT